TTCCCTCCTGGCTGCCTCGCCAGTTTCTGCTTATACAATGCAGGCAGCTTGGGGGAGCCATATTGTCCCTATAAGCTCATAACACATGGACAAATGATTAAAAACACATGGAAAACAGTTCCGCAGCTAAGCTGCAATTCAGATGGGACGGAAAATCAACTTGCAAAGCTTTCAGCTGACTCAGGGCCAAGTGTAGGACAGAATGCCGGAGGAGTTGCCAAAAGAAAGTTGTGTATGTGTGCATGTGGGGGGGGGGTGCAAATCATGGATCAGAAACCTAAAACAATGACGCCTTGTATTGACAGTCCTTCTCCGAGGCTCCCCAAAAGCAGGCACCAGAATCAACTCTTTGAAAAATATTAAAACCTTTATTTCATGAAAGGTTTTGGACAGATTTATATTTTCTACCCTCTATAAATAAAAGTTGGCTTTACTATCTTGGCAATACCTATGCAGAAACATAATCTTAAGTATCTGTAACATAAATATTAAAAAATTACACCTACTATTACCTCTAGGTGTGGGAATTAAGTAACAAGATGGTAGGAGACAAATTTAAAAAAAAAAAAAACAGTGATAATAAAATGGAAAAATTGAGCAACCTCCTGGCCAGGGTTTGCTTTATGCTGTTTGCCTGAGCCTGGGCCCACGTTGACCATAAACTCAGGAAGGCTAAGAACATTTACACAAAGTTCAGCTTAACTTAATGCAAAATGCTAAGAAGGCTTATTGTATTTGGTCACTCAAATGGCCTGGATTCTGCTGGGTAGGAAAGCAATGGGCAAAGGTATTTACTGGGAGACTCCCCTGCTGGTAATTAGCTTTTCCCTGAATCCTTCCTCACTCCCACACAGGCCCAGCCACTGCTCTTCCCATGCCTCGCCCCATGTAGATGATTATTGATTTAATGCAGGATCTATAAATACATCCTTTCCCATACATGCAACAAATGTATGCTTAAATGCTAAATACCAAAGGAAATTTCAAACTGTGGCTCCAGAAGCCACGCTCAGGAAATTGCTAACACCCAAGCTCAGCCCATTAGCACAGCAAACACTCCTGTCAGGTGAGACATCTTCCCTCCATTTAGTTCTTATTAGAATGGGATTTGTGCACCACAGTTCTTATCTGAAAGCAAAGCATCCTGGGACTTTCAAACAGGACTTTCTTAGTCATCTGGACGTCTCCTAAAAACAGTTCCACACTGAACACAAATGCCTTAACACATGGGAAAGTTATCACTTGTAATACAGAACCTTAAAACCCCAGTTCTCACCCACCCCCCCACTTCCTCCCCCTGGCTGCAGTTAGTCACTGGTGTGATTCTGAGAAGAATTATGCTAAGTGAAAGAGAAGGGCAAAAATAGGAGAATGCAAATGTAGTCCCTTTATAGAAAACTCTAGAAGTTACAGCCGATCTGCAGTGACAGAGAGCCCATCAGGTATTGCCTTGAGATGGAGAAGCAAACTGGACATAGCAAGAGACTGAAAGGGAACATGAGGAAAGTTTTGAGAGACGTGGATGCATTCACTACCTCAATTATAAGAAATGACATAAACATATTATACCAAATGATACATGTTAATGTAAGTTTATTATCTGCCAATTACATACAGTATCAACAAAGTTTCTTAAAGGAAAAACAACTGTAGGTGGTGGTGACACACACCTGTAATCAGAGCACTTGAGAGGGCGGACAGGAGGGTGGACAGGAGGGTGGAGAGTTCAAGGTCACCCTTGGGTAAACAATGAATTCAAGACAAGTTTGGGCCACACAAGACCTTTTCTTAAAACACACACACACACACACACACACGTGTCCCTCATAAATACAGACAAAAGTGTCTGAAAAAACTCAAGAGCATATGCAAGTGGATCATACATCTCAACCAAGACACCACTGAGACAGCAAAAGGACAAGCCAGGGATTGAAAGAAAGCATTTTATTATTCAGAGTAAAACTCAAGCTCAAGAATTTTTTAATAGGGCAGATAATTGAAGAGGTATTTCATGAAAGAAGATATATAGATGGCAAATGCACACATGAAAATATGACCAGGACCACTAGTTACCAGGACAACGCCAGTTCAGCCCATGGTGTGGTAGGAAGGGATGGGCACAGTAAGTGCTGGTGAGTATGTGGCAGGGATGAAACCCTTGGGTTCTGGTGGGAATGGAAAGGGGAACATACAGTGCCTGGTCCACCCTTGGGAGAAGAGAGCACTCGTGCATTCAGAGACTGACACGTGAGTTCACAGCAGTTTTGTTTGTCACAGCCCCAACTCTAAACAGCCTGCATATTCACCATTGTGTGCACAGGTGAACAAGCTATGTGGGTATCTCCACAAAAGAACAAAGCAAAAGAGCTTTTGACATAACAAGATCAGAAAATTTCAAACTACCCATTGAGATGCTTCAGTTGTAACACGATTTCTTTGGCTTGCTTATGGTTTTTTATTGAGCTTTAATAGTTTGTTTCAGAGACTTCATCTATTTTGTTTTGATTACTGCATCTACTCTACTAAACTATGCTTGATATTTCCCGTTATTGCAAGAATGACTGCAGACCTTAGTGCTGCATGCCTCATTCCTGGTATTGGCAGTCAGTGTCTTTCTTTCCTAATCAGTCTGGCTAGAACTTTACATATGGTTCTTTTTAATCAAAGCATCATTTTGACTTCACTGATATCATCTACTATTCTTCATTCTTTTCATTGGAGTGCTGGGATGGAACCCAAAACCTTTCACAGGCTAGAGTAGTCCTCAACAATGGAGCCTTTGGGGTTTTGAATCATGGTTTTACTATATAGCACAGGATTAGTCTTGAACTTGGAATCCTCCTGGCTCTGCCTGTATAGCCCTGACATTCCTCAGTGTTCTAGTATGACATTTGTTAATTCCCTTCTTTGGCCTCTTCCTTGTCCATTTCTCTGTTTTTTGAGACAGGGTCTCACTATGTAATAAATCCTTGCTGACCTGGAACTTGCTATGTAGATTATGTTGGCCTTGAATTCACAAAGATTTGACTATCTATGCCTCCCGAGTCCTGAGATGAAAGGCATGTGCCACCACAGCCAGCGTGCTTCTTCTTTTGAAGGTAGAAAGGGGTTATTAAGTGAAGATCTAGTTACTTTTTAATATAAGGTCTTACTATTATAAAATTTCCCCTGAGCACTGCCTTAATGGCACCCCACAAATGTTGACATATTTTCGTTTTTTTCCAGATCAAAATACTTTTAATTTTTTTATTTTATCCATAACATACACATTAAAGAAGTGGTGACTGAATCTTCCAGAAACATTTTTTGTTACTGATTCCTAATCCAATTCCATTATATTCAGGGTATATACTATACTAGTCTTGAAAATATGCAGACACTTTATTTTTATGCCCTAAAACCTTGTCTGCCTTGGTAAATGTTCACATGCACTTAAAGACCGATTTTGACACTTCTGGATGGTTCCAGAATCTCAGCTATGTTAATGCAGTTAGCCATATCCACGTTTCTACATCCTTATTGATTCCCCCACTACTCATTCCACTAATGTTAAAGGAGCATTGACATGTCAGACTGTGACTATAGATTTATCCATTTCCCGCCTATCAGCTTTTGCTTTACATATTTTTAAACCTTCTTACCAAGTGCCTGTATGTTTCAGATCACAAGGCTCCCTTACTGATGTATCTCTTCGTATTATGAACTAATCTTCGTTATCCTTGGCAATATTCCTTGCTCTAAAATTTATACTGTCTGACATTAGTATAGCCACTCCAATGTTGGCTGGGCTCAGGATGGCATATCTTTTTCAACTCTTCTACTTTCCATGGATTTGAGTATATTAAAAGTATGTTTCTTAAAGGGAATATGCGGTTGGGTCTGAACATAGTTTTTCTATTCAGCAAGTTGAGCCAGGCCGCCCTTCTGAAGGCCACAATGCAGGTGGAGCGGGAGGGAAGGCGCACAGGGCAGCGCTTCTTGGAAAGCGTTGTGGGTACCACGAGGCCACTAATGGAAGTGTTGGTTGATCTTTGTTCCTTTCTGTCTTAAGATAAACTGAATTTTATTACCTAGCAGAGTTTAGAGCCTATAAAAACTGTTCAAAATGAACAGTTACGCCTAAGTTATGAGGACAGTATATTCATTTCCTGTGTGATCCTACTCTAAAGGCTTGTAAAATTAATTTCATGAAAACCATGGTGTTCTGGACATTACAGACAGCCAGACGCACTCTGCTGCTGGTTCTTTGCCATGATTGATGGGGAGGAAAGAGAAGATCAGTAAGGCAGCCTTGCCGATTTAAAACGACATCAAATTTCGTATTCTTAGCCCGTGCATCAGACAGGATCTGAGTGAGCACCAGGCAATCAAATGGAAAGTGTAACTGGGTAAACACACAGCAAACCCAACATCCCATTTCCAGCTCTTGAAACTGGATTTTATGTGGAGACTTTCCTAGCACCTCAGCTTGGAATTCATCAGGTTAAAGTGTTCTCTTCGGGGTTGGGGATGTAAGTCAGTGACAGAGTGTTTACCTACTGCGTACTGGTTTTAATTTCCAGCACCTCAACAAATTATAAATCCTCACCTCAATAGCGTTTAGTGGATTCCTGCATTGTATAATCAGTACCACTACCTAACCCCAGAGTATTTCCATCCTCTCAGAGGAAATTCTATACCTATTGCCAGCCAGTCTCAACCCTGCAAGTCCTCCGCCCTCTGGCCCACTTCGGGTTTATAGATTTGCCTGTTTGGGAAATTTCATATAAATAGGATCATACAATATATGATTTAGGGTGTGTCTTTCATAATTTTTATGACACTATCAAAGACATTGTACTAGAATACAATAAAGCCAACTTAATATTACTATTGGAAGACATTCTGTCTACCATTTGTGTGTGTGTGTGTGAGAGAGAGAGAGAGAGAGAGAGAGAGAGAGAGAGAGAGAGAGAGACAGAGACAGACAGAGAGAGTATGCTCACAGAGGCCAGTATGTATGTGTGTGTGTGGGGGAGAGGGTATGCACGCAATGTGTGTGTGTGCGTGTGTGTATGTGTGTGTGTGTGTTTACACATATAGAGGCTAGAGGCCAGAGTTGCTCTCCAGTGTTGTTGTTCAGGAGCTGTCCACCAGTGCCTCTTACTGGGACCTGGTCTTATTCTTTAGACTAGCCTGACCAGAGAGTCCTAGAGACATTCCAGTCTCTGCCTTCCCAGTGCTGGGATTACAAGCACACATACCCCTACACACAGACTCTGGCTTGTTCCAAGGGTGCTGGTTAAGAACACAGGTCCTTCTGCTCACATAGCAAGTGTGTTACTCATTTATGTCTCCATCCTGCTGCCTGTCATTCCTAAGATGCCAGTCTTGGTGCTGATTTCACATTATGACTTCAGAGGATCTCAGCGTTCTCTGTAAAAGGTGAGTAGCAGATAAGATGATATCGAAGATCTCGCTTTGATTTCTGTTCCTCCAAGAATCTGTCTTAGAGACACAAACCCCTATGGTTTAAGGGGAAGGTTAGAAAATGAATTAACTATATTTAAAAATCTTTGATCCTATCTTTTTAGTGGAGGCATGAATTTGATCATGCTGGTATTAATGATACTTGGCCTTGATTATAAGCTTAGGAAATGCGTACTCTTTTTGTAATCTGGAGAAACATAACAGAAATGATCCTGAATAGTTTGCCCTGGAATGTGTTTCCTTCCTGGTCTGAAGAGAGATGATATAAACACCAGGCTCCTCTGCAACTTTCTCCCTGGTAAAAACCCTCCCCGGGTAAACTGGGCAGTGGTGGTGCACTCCTTTAATCCCAGAACTTGGGGGACAGAGATAGGCACATCTCTGTGAGTTCGAGGTCAGCCTGGTCTATTAAGCAAGTTCCAGCACAGCCAGGGCTACACAGAGAAACCTAGGCTTTAAAACTTCCGGAAATTTGCATATAAGCTCTGTGTTTTTCTTATTCCACTCTCTACCATATCTCTTGATGCTTAAGACCATGCCAGGCGTAGAGCTGATGCTGCATACTCGCTCTCACTGAATAAATGCTGTATGAATGCACAGCAGTTAAGAGCTACCAGCTAGTCTAACCAACAAAAAGGTACAGACGTGTGGAGGTTTCACACCCATCCCTTCTCTAAAAGGCGTAGCATCATTAAGATATAAATTGATAGCGACACACACCTGGCATGCCAGCACTCAGGAGACTGAAGCAGGAGGGTCATGAGGTCAAGGCCAGCCTGGGCTACATAGAGAGAGACTGTCTTGAAAAAGCAAATAAAGTGGCAGAAGTAGAACAATACCTGGGAGGCTCCATGGAAAAATGGAAAATGGGAAGAACTAAAGGTTTGATATCTGAGAATTATACATGTTTATTTTGCTAATTTTTCACACAGCACTAGATACAGTGCATTCAATCTGCTACTTCATTACAGAGATTCATCAGCACCAGGTGATGGTTTACATTACACAGAATCATAGTGGTTGTTAAAATGCATAACGTATTTGGGTCGTTTGAAAAATAGAAATACAAATAACTGTTACTCAGTTTGTTTTGACCTTTGCAGGGGAGGAGAGGAGATGATTAACTCCAGAATATAAGATTTGTTAAAATCTTAAAGTAAAATCGTCGTAAAAATACACTCTGTATTCTTAAAAGATCAAGTATCAGAAAGTTTTGAAAAGTTATATACCACTGAGCTGCACGTATGCCCTTGCATGTAGGAAATTCCTGAGTGGGCATTCAAGTTAGAGGAGAAGGGCTGGGGACAGTCGGGTCGCACCTCCTTATGTCCTTCCTGGCTACTCCATCTCCAGCCATTCCTATTCAACCCCAACAGTCACGCCATGCCCGGCATCTAAGCCTGCCTGAATTCGTATGTTCAGACCTGATTTCTCAATTTGGCAAAGCTTTTATGATCAGAAAAATTTCAAAATGGTCTATTCCTAATTGATCTTAAATAAATCAAACAATTCTCTGTGCTAACCATTTGCAATTGCAGCCGTACCATTTTCATGGCAGGAGAGTATAGGAAACTGGCCATGCCAACCAGATTGAGCATGGTTGGCACAGTTTTCTATTCCCAGCTTTAAATAGCATATGCACCTTTAGAATGAATCCCTCACTCTCTGAACTGCGGGGTCCAACCTCTTCTCTTCACCTCGAATCCCACCTCTGCATAGTACAGAAGCCAATGGATCACAAGGAGCCAGGCTGGAGCCAGAGAGGAGGAAGGGTTTGGCCTGTTTTGGTTAAACACTAAAGGATCTTTATATTCCACATTTCTTTGCATTTTACTATCTACAGAGGACTCTAGACCTCTGAGGTAACTGGGCCCAACTCTGCAATTACATCCGGATTTCAGTAAGAGACAGAATGTCTGAGTCTGATCCTAACCTCTTTAGGTAAAATTGTCTATGAATTGAAACTTTGATAAATGAGCAGAAATGAGGCAAGCCTGTCATGTTTTATATCCAGAAACTGGAAAGACTTTCTTAAACCATTTTTAGTGTCTCTAACACTAGAGATATTATTATTCTATTTAAAAAGTCTGTCCTAAAGCTCTAGTCTACATGAACACCTCATTTAATTCTAAAGTTACACTGGTGCTCATATGACGGGCTATATTTGGCACAACCATATTTTTTAGTGATTATTAAAAAAGAAACGTTTTAATACACATTTCAAAAAGGACATTCTGACTTCCTATAATTAACCCCGGGGAATCCAGAAGGGATTGTTGAGAGAGTCACAGCATGGCTCATTGCTACAAAAACATTTCTCTCAACTGAGTTTATAAATTAATAAGGTCCCTTCTATTAGAGAACCTAGTTAGCAGAGCATCTCTGCAAATATTACAGATTTAAAAGCTTAAAGGCACATCAAAGTCCTCTCCAACACTGTGAGTTTCCAAAGGTTCTGGCTCCAGTATTGGTTTTCTTTGTTCACAAGCATAGTTCATGGGAATGCTTCTGAGGGAGGGGGTATTTTTCTTCTGTGTGTCAACCAGTATGCATATTTCCTCCTCATTCCAAGGGTCCTTTAAAAATATTAATCAGCATAGTAAATGGAGAGGGAGATACTGCTATTTCAAAATTCACATGGAAACCCAATACTTAACAAAGGAATGGCGCAATGCCATGACTTCATTGGGACAGAGCATGTTTCGTGAGTTGAATGCTTCACTCTCTCCAGTAGAGGCAGGCCCCTGCCTCCACCTCACTAGACCTGTGCAGTTGAGCATCCTCCTGAAAGGTTCTTTTATTCAAAAGAGGGCCCCCTTGTCTACCCACAGCCTCTAATTTTAAGTTTCACATTAAAAGAGCTCAAAGATATGAACCAACCCTCAGCATTCAATCCTGGCTGACTAGAAATGCAGGGCTAGCTTCACTCGGACTCTGGTAGAAGCACCCGCAATAGTGCTCTTTCTGGATGAGGTCTAGAAACAAAAGTATCTAAGGTCCATGTAAATCTGTATTGCCTGAGAGTTGGCATAGGAAAGAGTATGAATCTTCTAGAAGAAACAAATATTACAACCGATAATACCGCGGTTGTTTATTTAGAAAAATACTGAGATACATAAATTGTATCTCATCTTGAAAGACACACTCATCCATCTACCTTCCTGGGACTGTTGATCTAGCTTCCATGTTTACTTGATAGACTCACAAAGACAAAACCAGCCAGCCACAAAAATGCATTTCTACTGAGTAGTATACATAGACCTTGTAATTGAAAGGTGAGAAATCTCAGGTTACATTTGGAGTTTCCTTGAGCACACAAAACTGTGGGCCTTGCCTTTACTACAGTTCTTTGATTGCCATTGTCCTCTTTTGTGAACCAAAACACAGTTCTTCCCAGGCTTTGGGTGCTGAGGGGGCCCTCTCTTCCAGTTGGTGAAAGCAACGGGTTCACCTCCAATCCACTCCCAGCGGCCAGTGCGGGCTTGGTTCTTCAAACCTAATGTGAGGCAAGAGAACATGCCAAGTATTCTTAATACATTCAAACTTAGGTACTGTGGCTATCATATTCTTTTTCTTCTACTCCCCTTTCAGTACTGGTATTGAATTTATGTCTCTACACATGCAAGGCAAGTGCTCTACCAGTGGGCTAGGTCTCCTACCCTACTCTGCTATTCTTCACTCTTTTGAGTGTGGTCTTAGTAGTTCCCCAGCTCGTCTTGAACACATGGTCTTCCTACCTCAGACCTCCAAAAATAGCTGTAATTAGAGGTGCGTACCACCAAACTTAGTCTATAGTTGATGTGGGAGTGTCATATATCAATCTGTTGATTTCATTGGCTGAGCAATAAAGAAACTGCTTAGCTTAGCTTAGAGCATAGATGGGAGGAGGAAACAGAATAGAATTCTGGGCGGAAGAGGAAGTGAGGTCAGACTCTGCTCTGCTCCCGGAGAGACTCGACAGCTCTGCTCTGGAGCAGAGACGCCATGCTTGCCATGCTACACTCTCCCAGGATGGACGAAGGCTAGAATCTTCCTGGTAAGCGCACCTTGGGGTGCTTACACACATCATTAGAAATGGGCTAGTCCAGGTGCGAGAATTAGCCTGTAAGGGCTAGAGTTCATGGGCCAAGCAGTTCTTTAAATGAATACAGTTTGTGTGTTGTTATTTCGGGCATGAGCTAGCCAAGCGGCCGGGGTGTTGGGGACGCAGCCCCGCCGCCGCTCCTATTTCAACATATAGTACTAAGTGTATAAAAAGTTATAAAAGTGTGAGTCCCAGTTCTAGCTCCAGGAGTAGGATTTGGGGATACAACGTGACACACTTAGGAGTATTGGACTTCGGTGCCAAGCAGATTCTGTCCTCTGGGTAGGTTACTCACCCTTTCTGCCTTTTAGTTTTCTCGTCTAAAGAATGAGCATAAACACAGTCTATACAGCTTTGTTGAAGATGAAATATGATGGCCCATGTAAAACTCTTACCCTAAACAAAGAACTCCAGGCAACTAAAGAATGCTGAGAGCGGGAGAGACGGCCTTTCCAGGGAGGATGCCCTCAGCTGCTAATCAACACCAATTAGTCAAACCTGAATTCATACACACAAGTTAATGTTATACGGACTGGGCAGGTTGTATTTGTATATTCAAATTTATATCATTATGCAATTATATGGTTATAATAATATATATAATTAAAGAATTAGAGGCCATGAATTTGAGAAAGAGCAGGTGGGGGTAGGGAAGTATTGTACAGTGGTTCTCAACTTTCCTAATGCTTTTCCCTTTAAGACAGTTCCTCATAACTGACCCCAACCATACAATTACTTCATCGCCATATCATGACTGTACTTTTGATATTGTTATGAATTATATTGTGAACATCTGTTTTTTGATGAAACCCCTGTGAAAAGTTTATTCAACTCCTAAAGGGTCACAACCCACTGTGTTAGAGGGGAGAAAGGGAAGGTGGGAGATGATAGAATTATATTCTAAGATTTTTTTAAAAAAAACTTTTTAACATATCTTAATGTCTACTTAATGGCAGCTGTTACTATTTTTGAATTTATATTTACTTTTATGTGTGTAAGTATTTTACCTACATGTAGGTCTGAGAATCATGCATGTGCACTGCCAGAAGAAGGCATAAAGTCCTCTGGAAATGGAATTACAGAGAGTTGTGAGCTGCCATGTGGGTGCTGGGAACCAATGCCAGCTCCTCTGCAAGGGCAGTCAGTGTTCTAAGCTGCTGAGCCATCTCTCCAGCCCCAGAAGCTATGATCATCCCTGCCACCTACCCACAAAACTCCTGTCCCAGGGAAACAGAGATTTTGCTGCCTATTATTCTTTCTTTCTGTTCTTTAAAAGCCTTTGTTGTCATTTGAATAAAATGCCCCACCCTGGGCTTATAGGGACTGGCACAATTGGGAGGTGTGGCCTTGTTGGAGTGGGTGTGCCACTGTTGGAGGAAGTGTGTCACTGGGGGTGGGCTTTGAGGCCTCAGTTCAAGCCATGCCCAGTGTGGCATTCTCTCTTCCTGCTGCCTGCAGATCTAGATGGAGGACGCTCAGCTCCTTCTTCAGCACCATGTCTGCCTGCACACTGCCATGTCCTGCCATGATGAAAATGGACGAACACTCTGAAACTGTAAGCCAGTACCAGCTAAATGATTTTCATTATAAGAATGGCTGTGGCCATGGTGTCTCTTCAGAGCAATAGAAATCCTAAAATAACCTTCATTTTCATTCAGAAGATGTTTCATTCTGCTACAGTTCCAATAAAAATCCATTTTCCTCCCCTTGCCACTCTACTCCCATTGGAAATTTCTGAAAATTAGATTCTAATATTCTAATAAGCATTCTAATACTCTAATATTAGATTCTAATATTCTACTAAGTATCTGTAACACTTAAGGAAGCATATCTCCTAATTCTCCTAATAGAAATTTTAAAAAGAAAAAGTACAAGAAAGGAACTCTGTGTAATGGTGGCACAGCCTGAAATCTTGCCACTCAGTCTTGATCATGACAAAGGTTCTTGCTGCCAGCATGTTTCCTTCCTCCACTAAAACTACAGCCAGGAGCACCCTGTCCTGCCCTGGATTACCTCCTGGGATTATTGATCAGATAACACGTGCCTCTGAGAACACAAAGCCTTAGAATCATTATGGATGCACAGACCACTCTTAGGCCATGTCTGAATCTGAAGACCCAGTCAAGCTTACAGGAAAAAAATGAGAACCAGAGAGTCGCTTTATGACTGTTACCCACACACACTGCCTCTCAGAGGAGCAGAGGGAACATTGACTCTGATGTGCCCTGAGAATTCTGCCTCTGACGTAAACTGTAAAGATTTGTTGTAACTATCAAAATCAGAAAAAAATATTAAAAATCTGAAAATTCAAGGATTAAGATTTAAAGTACATACAATTGTTGATTAGTGGTAAATTATTTCCAAAGTTAGCATGCAACTCTACTTATACATACAAATTCTACTTGCACATAAATTTCTTTTTTTATTCTAAACTAGCCCATGTCTCATAAAGCTATGCACCTGCTTTTTCACTTAGTACCTGGTCACAAACACAATGTAATATCTGTCATCTATAACAATATAGTATATAATTGTTGAATCAGTTAATATATACATAAGTTTTGTTACAGCTTTACTAGCTAACGTAAGGACAATAAATATCAACTGTGCCTTCACATAGGCATGCTATAATCTAATTTACTCCATTTATATACATTACTAAATTCTTAAATTTTAGAAACACTATTGTATTAAAATTTTTATTTACCAGTCTAACTACATCCCTAGTTATTTCTTTGAAATAGATGTACAAGAATGAAAGTAGTCCTCCAAAAAGCCAAAAAGTCTAAAGTTTTTTTTTTCTTGCTGCTAGGTATTGAACCCAGGGTCTTGTACATGCTCAAAATACGCTCTGTCACTGAACCGTACTCCTGGCCGTGAGACGGTTTTAGCTGACTGACCAGCTAACTATTGCATGCCATCAGTGGAAGGGCGGGGCAGGTATCAGTTCCTTTGCTGTTTGAGTGCTTGCTCCCTGCTCAGCAGAATGCAGACACTTACCTATCCAGAAGGGCTTTCGTCCACTGATATCCCATAACCACTGCATATGCCTCCTGGAGAAGATGGTCACAAGGTTGCCCTGATACCTGCACACACACAGATGAAAACAAGGATCTCAGCACCAGGGGGGATACATTGCTGCTCATACGATGTGCATAATAGAAATAGAAAGGAAGTTAGTAAATACGCAGAAAATGCTTTCGATATTTTAGTACTCCGCTTAGCTTTGATTAGTCTGTGGGGTAGGGGCCGGGCAGCACCAAGGGAAGCATCGTCATATTATATAGCTCTATTTACATCACAGTTCAAGGTAATTAGAATATCTTTTTGGAAATTAATAACTGTCTGCTTGTAAAGACTAATTAGATTAATTACTTAGTATGAAAATATTATAAAGGTTATCATCCCCTCCTCCTCCTTGGAGACAGGGTCTCATGTAACCCAGGCTAGCCCCAAACTCCACACATAGCCAAAGATAACTAAGCTTAAACTTCTGATCCTCTTACAGAATTTTTTTTTTCCTAGCTGGTATAAATTTGATAGTCATGACTTAATTTGACCAGTAAGGTATCCTGATTTTCTTCCCTGATAAAATGACTGGAAGTCTAAATTTTGAACTTGGCGTGTTTACTCAAATAACCCAATAAACATGGCTCTTCTGATAGCTCAGTGAAAGGAGACTAGGTCCATTGTCAACCCTCATCCACTTTACCGAGACGAGAGAAGCTCTTCCTGCCGGTATACACCATGCTCCCTCAGAACAGACTTCTCCATGAAGTCCACTAGCTGAGCAGCGAATCCTGGAAGCAGGATTCTATTACCTGAATTCCCCATAGAGCTTACTTAAAGCTCGTTAAAAACACTCCAACCAAAGCTGGTAGGTTATTTTCTTCTTGAAAAGAGAAGAAATGGGTTCGAAGAAGAAGCGGTTTGTAACTAACGTATGCACATAACCTATCATGGGGGCACGTTGTGTCCTGTAGAAATGCATGTATTACAACTCACAATACTAAAGGAGGGATTTAAAATGTTAAGGACTGGTGAGATTGCCCAGAGGATAATGCCAGGCCTGATGACTTGAGGCTTGGGGTCTGCGTCATGGAGGGAGGGACCTGACTGTCTTCCGAGCTGCGCTCTGGCTTCTACACGTGCATCACAGCGCTCAGGCACCACATGCCCATAGATGAAGGGGGGCAAAATATCATTTTTAAAAAAATTAAGTCAAACGACAAGAAAATAAATAAATCACAATGATTTTTCTTGCCTGATACACATTTGTTAACACGAAGACAAGCGGGAAATAAAATAGCAACACATATGGAGTTAAATAACTGCGCGACTAAACTTCGTTCATTTTGCCTATGTTTTTCCAAAATTCGGTAACTATAATTTGTTACTTAATGATTTTTCCTTCCACTAACATAAGATTTGCGGTTCTGTAGTTCAATGGTGCCTTACGGGCTTCCCGAGATCTCTAAGACTGCTGGAGAGCTCCAGGCTGCTGGACTGGAGCTTTATGACTTGGTTTTGAACCCATTCTTTACTGCTGGCTCACGCCTGACAGTCACAGCCGCTGCCGTGAGACATCTCCTCATACCCAGTGTGGTTATTCTTGGTGCTCTGGGCTCAGGACTCACGGTATTCAGCTTGTGCTAGACAGATGTGGGCTATCCCATCACTGTGGAGCGCTGGACTAAGAATGGGAGAGGCAGGATCCACTTCCCGCTTGGAACCTCTGTCTCCTACCTGGTAATTTTCTTACCGAATGCCACCAACCTCACAGCCATCACTGGGATGGATGTAGGTTTATTTCTGGATGCCTAGCATCTCCCCTGCTTGAAAAAATTTGAAGCTATCTTTAAAGCAGACTTTACAAAATGCATTTCAGTTGCTTAAATACAGTTCTAGTTTTCTGTTTAACTCTCCAAAAAAACGAGATGTTCCCCTACAAAAACAAAGGACCAGGCAGAAAAAATAGCTATGTCTCACCTATGCAAAATATTAAAGCCACGGTTCACAAAACAAATGTTTTGGCATGTGCATGGTGGCTTTAAGTAAAAGAAATAAATGAATAATAAATAAATAAATAAAATTTTCCTGTTCATTTCACTCAAATACTTAGAAAATACGGTAGATACTCTCTGTGTAGACATGTGTATTTATAGATATAAGATTGAAATATATAGGTAATACATATAAGTAAAAACCTTCAGAAACTCTAAAATGGAAAGGATTCAATGTCCAAGAGTAGAAAGAGAGGCTTTACTTTTTCTGGCTATAAAAACAAACATCTACTTCTTCAAAAGATTTTGCATAAGTCCCGAAATTTCAGGGCAACTCTTTAAGGGGAGGCCAGCAGGGGTTCCAGACGCTCCTGTGGGACCGGGAAACGGCACCATAGATAATGGTCTATAATAATAGAATTACCAAATGTACAATGACTGCCTTAGGAAATGAGCAGATGAGATTACAATATGTAAATTCAAGAAATGCCTAATCTAGCAGTCTGGCTCCTTTGGGTTAGTAAAATAATAAAACACCACTGGAGAGGCAGAGAGATGGGAGATAAAGATCGCGCTGAGTTAGTAATCTGATTAGGGACAAGGGATAACATACAATTTACTGTTCTCATTGAAACACAGACATTGTAAACGTCCCTTTGGAAATAAAAAAAAAATGTCAGACACATACCAAGGAGAGACCACAGAAACAGCACAGTATAAGATGACAGTCCCTCAAGCCCAATCAAAACACAATCTGTTTGTGTACTAACAGTAGAATCTAAAGCCATTTGCTAAACTAGCCAATGGTAAAGTAAAGCTTCAGGTGACAGAATGCAAATGTGTGACTTTAACTTAACAAACGTGACTGAAGGTCCCTAGAGAAATACCCAGTTTCAAGCCAGCAAGGCTGGTGAACAAGAGCAGAGGGATTCAGAAAGTATGGGGTGAAGGAAGCCGAAGGCCCAGGCTGAGACTAGAGCTGAAGGGTGACAGACTCAGAGACAGCTTGGCTAGAGACGGGACTTACTACCCCCCCAATGTTCCTCCTGAAATCATATATTCAAATCCCAGTGGCCTTTTTAAAAGTGACTGAAACCAATGTACATCTCCAATCATTTTCCTTGTCTTTCTGAAGTCAAACGCTTGCTAAAGTACCACGCAAATAAGATGTGTAACATTTGAACTACCATTGGAAGTGCAGAGGCTTTCAGTGTTACCTGAATGTCACATTACCTTACCTGCCCTCGAATGCCATCAAAGACGGTATTTGATAAACGACTTAGTTTCCCAGTCAATAAGATAACGTGCAACTTGACTTCATTTCATTGCTAGTTAGGTACTTTCTTAAAATATGTTCCTAAAACTGTTCCCTAAGACCAGAATGTACTAAATAACTTGGAAATAATTTGGACAACAGTGGCTCTGAAGCTACTTAGCTTAGCTATTAGCTCACGTTTGAGCTAATAGTGCAATCACTCTGACTCCCTTGAGCCACCAGGGAAGCCAGACATTTTTCAAGACAAAAATCTTTCATTTACAGTATTCCCAAATGTCAATCATGTTCTGCTATATGTAATCAACAGATAGTACTGGAAACTCATATTTATGGCCTGAGGAATTCTTAAATTGACTTATAGTAAAATATGAACTCAGTAAGTGCTAAATACAGGCACTTAAATTCTGAAATATCTACGTTCTTAATAGAGCTTTATGAGAAAGAGATTTGGGAAAGGCATGATCTGAAGGCTGTACAGCATTACTAATGTAAAATGCATTTGTTGTGTAAGGACAATTGTACTGAGCTATGCTGCCTAGTCCCTAAGGAATAAGGAGTTATTTCTGTGTTGGTCTGCGTGACCAGTGCTAACGGACAGTTTTTGAGGTGTGTTCTAGTCTAGACTTACTTTATTCCACCACAAAAAGTTAAAACATGAATCTATAAATTCAAAACTTGATTACATTTTGGTTTTCCCCCAAAGGGTTAGTTGGGTTCCATTTTAAAGTTTTATTTCTTTGCTGTGAGAGATACAAGACTTTAAAATACACGCTTAGGAAGGCTTGTGTTAGATTTGCCTAACACTGAGCTAAAATAGACACACTTGTCAATGCATATGTGGTGAGAAAGCCCCTGTGCTTTGGCGTTCTCTCGGGGAGTGGCGTTCTCTTTCCTTGCCAGCACATAGAACCAGGTCAGGCTAGCCTAGGGCAGGGTGCTGAACACTGAATTCCAGGTGAAGACTTAGGTTAAGTGCTTGGGGAAGTAGACAGGACTCTTAAGTTAATTTCAGCCTTGTGTTTATGATGAACATGAGTAAACCAGAGAGTATTAACAAAACTATGAGGCAACTCTGTAACTAGTAGGCTATTAATCATTAAAAGCTGGCTGCAAAAAAAATACAAATTTTTTAAAGGTATTGGGAGACTGACTCAGGGAGACCAACGAGAAGGCATCAACAGTACTACTCCAGGTGGGCAGTATGTTATAAAAAGGATTTGTAACGCTAAGAAATTAGATTATAATTTCAGAATCAAAAATAGATATTCAAATAAGAAAAACACCTGCCTACTTCACACCAACATCTTTGTACGGATGCAAAGACAGTTCCCAGGACATGTTACCTTTTTCCTCAACGTATGGACAATCCATAACCAGTTTGCGGTCATCTTGAATTTTAAACTGCAAGGCCATCTAAAAAAAGAAAGAAAGAAGGAAAGGAAGGAAGGAAGGAAAGAAAGAAAGAAAGAAGAAAGAATATATCCATGGGATATAGCTCAGTAGTAGAACATGTGACCCGAATTTATCAAGCCCCTGGGTTTCCCCTCCAACACACACGCACAAACACACACACATATAACCGTGGGTGTGCGGGAGGCAACACAGTCACTGAAATCACTTCTGCACAAATATGAAGACCTGAGTTCAGATTCCCAGGATCCAAATACAAGCTGGGCATGGTGGCACGTGCCTACAATCCCGGTGCTGTGTAGACCAAGAGACAGGTGGGTCCTTGGCATCTCCTGGCCAGCAACTCTGAGGGAGTCAGAGAGTGCTGGGTTCAGTGACAGATTGTATCCAAAAAAACTAAGATAGTGACTGAAGAAGAAACCTAACTTTGACTTCTAACCTCCAGAGGCATACACAAACATGCCCTCACCACACCCCAGCAAATAAAGAAATTAATTTTTAAAAGTAACCCCAAAAGCTGACTGAGAACTGGCTTACTGGGGACTTGCTGCATGCTTTGGGAAGCACTGGAAGGAAATGGCTGAAGTCACAGGTCAGGCTCTGTGGTTGAGAGCTAGCCACAGTTTCGTGGGGATGAACCAATAAAGCAGCTTTCAGGTTTGAGCTTGGGAAATTCCCATTCTGTTTGTCTACATTTTACCAAGAGACCCCTACACCATGACCTTGACAACCCGGACAGCAGGATACATCCACCACCCTCGCTTCTGCCAGTAAGATCCATGCCCCTCTCGATTTGGTAGCATTTTTCTCCTGGTTAGCAGGGAGAGCTTCCTTCCAGGTTAACACCCCAGCTCTCTCAAGGAGTAACAGAGCAAGACACTATCCCCTAGATAAACTTCAAATAGCTGTAGGATACCTGGTTGTTTTAATAAAAGGATGTCTAACTTATTCTTCAGCATGCAGCATGTAGCAACATATAGAGTTAACTAATTTTTAAGAGTTAAATGTCTGGATTTATATTCTATTACCAACTTACCAACACATCCCCTAGGCACTGATGAACCTCTATCAAGACTCTATCTATAGTTAAAATATAAAATACACAAGTAACAAAAAATATGGTTGACTCTCTCAGGTTTTAAATACTTTATTAGCTTAAAAAAAAAGTCTAGAAGGAAGGTTGGGTGTGGTGGCACAGCCCCGTAATCTCCGGTTTTCAGGAAGCTGAGGCAGGAGAGTTGAGCCCATGATTTAGAGGACAGCCTGGGCAACATAGTGAGATTTTTGTCTCAAAAACAAAACAAAACTGACTAGGTAAGTGCACAGATAAGCAGAGATCTTTATTTAATGTGATGGACTTTGACACAGGTATTACACGCACATAATAGCTATATAGACAAAGACGAACACTTTCCGTTCCTGGCACTGGAAAAGTGTTGTTCCTTATCCTCTCACTGACTTTGAAAACCCTTTGTTATTGAAGCCGCCTAGATTAGATTCTCCTACACGTGTACATGGGATCTCAGTATCCTACTGTGTAAGGCTGTATAGACATTCTGTTTGTTATTTATCCATAATGTACCTACATTGTTGGAGGTTTCAGAGATCCCGTCATAATGTATATAAATGTATTATCTCCATGACGGAGAAAATAGCTAGTACTTTCATAAATCAATAACAAAAGTGACCCAAATTATTATCATTGTGAATAAACATAAAATTATTTTGAATTTTATAGCATATATTTTAATCTCTTGAAGGAGTAGCTGGGTATAGAATTACTAAGTCACAGGGAACATAACCTTATTTGAAAAACTATCAGACAATGCCACAAAGTGGATGCGACCTCGTGTGGTTCCACATGTAACAACCCAGGAGCGTTTTCTTTGCTGTACGCCCTTATCGACACTGGTCTTGTCATCTTGTGATTGTTTTTTAATCTTTTAGTGACTGTAAAGTGTTTTCATCTCCTCCTACCTTGTCTCTAACGATGCTGAAGATCTTTTTCACTACCGAGGAACCTACTGTTTATGTTTTTCTTGAGAGGTCTCCAAGTCATTTATAAAGTGTGTTTTCGTCGTGCGTCTGATCTGTGTGCGTTGGCACAGGTGTGTGATCGGCAGAGGACAATGTTGTGGAGCTGGTTCTCTTTTTCTCCCTTCACACGAGTCAGCCGGCTTTCCTAGGCACCTCGTCACCCTCTCTGCTATTGCCATGATTTCAGTTGTGTTTTCGTTATTCATTTATAGGAGATTTATCCCCTATTCAAGACCTTTATCAGATAGGCGGTTTAAGAACAGCTCTTCCTGAATGTGGTTTACCCTTTCATTTTCCTAATGGTGTCTTTTAAACTTAATAAAGTATAAGATATGATCAATATTAACTAGAAATTACTGTAGTTTCCGTTTTCAACAGGAATGCATATTAGTGTGATTACATCGTTTGGATAAAATCCAGCTTATCAAATAAAAAGGTTGGTCAAGGATTGCTACATGTGCATTTTTAAAATCCTTCTGGATCAGATGAATTTTGTTGTTATTCTCTGACCACAAGTCATCTTTTATTGAATGTTACCCAATGAGCCTTTGTCCTACTTGCCTGGCTTTATGGGCATCAAGGCCTCCAACATTGCCAGAGGCAGGATGCCAAGGCCTTTCATTACCCGGTATTTTAAAATCAATGGGCATGGGTGTCTATTATCTGAAGGGTAGGAGGGAGAGGAGAAAATATCAGAACCTACAGAACTTTTTCCTTAAAAGATGGAGATAAAAGGAGAAAAAGAAAAGAACGCGGCACTAGTCTGGCCGTAACAGGAAGACCTCAGCAGACAAAGCACCCATGCCAGCTACAAATCCATTCTGAACCATGGACTCCCCTTCGTCTCCTTAGACCAAGCTGGACAGACTTTAGGTAATACTTATTTAGTGACTGATGCAGGCCTACGGTTCCATGTGAAAATAAAGAAAGCATCAGGCCATGTGACAAAGGGGTCCTTACTGTTCTCTGCAAGCTCGGGTAGCAGTGGTCCAGGTGCCTTTCCTCTGTGTGACCAAGGTGTGGCAATAGCCTGAGTGAAGATGCCATCCAGCTGGGCAGGATCTGTCCTCCAGGCCCTGCAAAACAATTGTCAGTGCTCACATCTGAATGGACTTGATAATCTGGAGTCGGCCTCCTCCCTTGAACGGGGCAGAGGCAGACTTCACTGTAATTTCCCATCTGAGGAGACAAAAGGCTTCCTACGGAAATCACCACCGCAGTCAGAAATGGTTCAGTTTTATAGCACTGACATTTCGATAATTAAACAAAACTGACTGATTTACTACTATATTTTGGATCTAAAAAAACACTTTGTAGCATTTTTTTTTTCTCACGGCTTTCCAGCTTTAGTAACAACAGACAAAGCCTGGGTTAAGAATCACATGTCCAACCGCTCTGCAAGATCATCACAGGGCGTACCACTAAAGATACTTGGCTACCCCACCAGTGCCCCCACCTTGGTTTGGGGGCTCCAGGCTTTCCAGGTGGTCCCATCACATAGATACAGTCTGTGGGTGCCTTCTTCAAAATGAAACAGTCCCTTTAACGCCACAGAGCAATTCTTTGGAAACGAGGGCAGCTGACCCTGTAGGGACAAGCGGTAGTTTAGAATTGATTTAACGTAAGTTAATAACACACGACTATGTCTGCAGGGCAGCGTTTGTGTTGAGCAAGCCATCCCCAAACATGGTCCATTTTGTGAATTAAGAGTGGTTATGGCCCAGACTGTCAGCTAGAAGGCAAACAGGAAAGGGAGAATCCCATACCTGTCTGGGGAAGTGTGAGCCGGCTGGGGATTCCACCTTATCAGCTAGAGGCAATTCTGCCACCGGGATTGTCTTCTGTGGCTGCCTAATGACTGATAGTTTGGCCTTCCGTTTGTGAGCAGAGAAATCGTCACCGTCTAGTTTCAAGGAAACTATGCCCTGATACTTGAGGAAACCAACAAACAAAAACAATGAGAAAAACAAACAAACATCAAGACAGCAAACAAAAACTTTGTGCTAATAATGAGGATTTAAAGAATCGTATCAACTCAAAGAGGCAAAAGGATTTTTCTTGATCACCCAATCTTCTAAAGGAAATTTCAGAATGAAATTCAGATAAGTAGACTAAGAGAAAAGATAAAATAATCTCACAAATGTTTCCATCCGTGAAGACGACGTTTAGCAATGCTCTATGCTTACATTGTACATGGTGTCTGTTCCATTTCTACAAACGGAGGAAGGGTGGACCTGAAATCGACAAAGGACATAATGCACACAAAGCTGACTTTAAAACAAGGAGCAGCCTACTCTGTCAAGGTCCTGTAACAACTGAAATTTTAAAAGAATATTTCCTGAGGCTTTTTTTTTTCATGCCAAATTCAATAGAATTTTCTAAAGCATCATGTCTAACCGCAGCTGACCGTTGTGTTGATTTCTGTACCCACTCTACTGGGCAAAGGAAGTGGCTTTAGTTTTCCAGTGCATCCACTGCACAGAAAGATTCAGGAGAACACACACACGTGCACATGCACGGAGGAGAATGTATCTTGTTAGAGTCATTGCTTCCACACCCAAGGGGGTCACTTAAATGTGCTTTCATTGTAGGGTCGCTGATGACTCCCTATCTGCCTTGGTCTAAAAGGAGCCAAAGCAGGATTCATAGGGCTGAATGAATGTAGCTACCACTTCACTTGGCACAGTTAGCGGAGTGGGTCAGCATGATATCTGCACACAAAAAGGCACTGCAAAGAACTCACTACGAGAACCCAGTTTCTGCGGCGTCTCAGAGACTCACCACTCTGTACCCACACATCCACTCCCAGTATGCCCCCATCCTTACTGGTTTGCCATTCCCATGGGTCCTCATCTTCCTCTGAGAGAGGTCTGTGGGATCAAAGCCCTGAAGGGCATCTCCTTTGGTGAGAGACGGAGGAGGCCCTCTTTCCAGCCGAGGAGAGCCAGCCGTGGTGAGTGAGGATGACCCTGGGCGCAGCGGCTGCCCGCTGCCCTTCCCCCATGCGCTGTGCTTGCTTTGGTTGAAGGAATTTGAAGGATGGCACCGTCCTGGAGGCATGCAAGATGGCAGGCGATCAGTACACCACACAAACACATAAGTGATGGCATCAACACAGCTCCTGAAACAGCTTGTCATTAAACCTAGACGGATGAATTTCCCACCAGATGTTGCCTTTTTCCCATTTGCCAGAAACGCCTTCTCTCTTCATCAGTTTCCACCTGGGAAAGCAGTATCCTCCTGCACACGGATAGGGTGATTATAAAGTCATGAAATCCATCTCACAAATCATAGATGAAAATCATCGCCATGGCTTTATAATCATTCCAGACACTTAGGAAACCGGCTCGCTCCCCTCCTTCTGTGATCCTCATCAACATGGAAGGCTTAGTCGCCGGTTAAGTACCACCCCACATGCACTTTGAAAGTATTCGGTTTTCCTCCTGTCTTTTAGAGGTGGAAACCGGGATTGTTTAAAGATGCCATGTGATCTAGCAGCAGCTATAAACATTTGCAACCAACTACATACAAGGGAACAAAACGCTAGCGAATGTCAGGAGAGACTTCTACTGGAAACCTTGACTATCAGTGTTCTAGGAAGGCACGAAAGACAAAACAAAACAAAAACCAAACCAACAGATGAAAAAAGAAAAAAGAAACCAGGCTAGTGAAATGACTCAGCCGGCGAAGATGCTTGCCACCAAGCCTGACGACCAGCGTTGGATCCTGGGAGCCCACATAATAGGAGAGAACAGATTCCCGCCGGAAAACACCATAAGTAAAAAGTGATTAAAAATTAAAGTACAATAACAAACCTCAACCAAAAAGAAAACAAAAAAAAAAATGACCTACAGACAGATCCTGTCTGGATATTTATTTTAGTCTTAGCTACCCTGATTTCCAGCGCGGAGCCTTTTTCGCAAGCTCAGCCAGTGCTCTGCCACTGGGCTATGTTCCCAGTCCTGGGACATCTTTGTAATTTTATATTTGACACACTTAATGTGAGCGGACATTTCTGCTGGAGAAGAGGTACACATGGTGAGGAGGAAGGTGGGACGAGCGATGCCGTGGAAACGTGGGTCTACGGAGCCAGGGAGACAGCACCCATTTTGGTTACAGGGTGAGCGGGGCAGACGATGGCTCACAGGTGAGAAAACAAATGCAGATCGCAGGCATGACAAGCATACAAATAAAGGCTTAAACCGGGACGCCACGCCGGACACATCAAATGCCACGCCACGTAGATAAGAAACCAGAAGCAGAGGGCCTTTGGCAGGACAGAACCTCAGGAGTGCCAAGGGCTTTGCTTTCGGCTTTATTTGCAGGTTGGTCTCCGCGTACCCTTCCCAGGACGGTTTGGCTCCACATCACCAAATGATTCATTAGTATTCTCCAGCTGCCCCCAAATCCCCAGCCAGCTGCATCTTCACGTCTATTTCTCTCCAATTCCTTCCTTTCTTAGAATTTCCCTGGTCACACTACAGTGGGAGCTCCAGTGCTAGGCACTGAGCGCTCTCTTTAACAGAAGAAGATAATTACAGCCCTGCGAACTCTGGGGGAAAATAATTGTCGATAGCTTCTCACCAACATTGTTTCCCCCTTGGTGAGAACAACAAACGCTTAGGAAAAAAAGCAACCGGGCCACTGACTTGTTGCTTTTCTGCAGCCATTGCTCCTAGCAGGAGGAAAACCACATGAAGCCCAAACCAGAATAAAGAAACCAGAGTCATGATGGAGGCGGCTTTCTTGACAAGAAATTACACATTTTGACGTGAAGGTGTTATCAAGCACGCTGGCTGCTGTAAGCCAGCAGCCATGGCGCCAGGACCGCTCCTGATTTCAAGACGAGGATCAAAAGAATACCTCCTTTTGAGTCCAAAATTTTCACTGCAGCTTTTGTCTTTGTGCCAAGAACGGCATTCACAGGGGAGTTCAGAATTACTTCAAAGACCTCATCATCTTCCTCTAATCCGTCATAGGTAATTGCTATATTCCACATCTTAGTTGACATTCCTACAAGAAGTAAACATTTTAATTACTCTTTAATTGCTATTTCAATCACCTAGGTGTCAGAGAAATATATTAATTAACATGTCTACAGCTAGACTGCAGTAGTCCGAGTGAGCTATTGTACTGCCACCAACTCGCTGAGGCCCTGCTGTTCTTCCAAATAATATAAAAAGACGGCATTTGTTCCTGGACAATGATGGCCGGCCTCAATGCAAACACTGTAACAAAAAGTAAGCTGTGCTACACAGGGGGAGAGAAAAAGGTTGGTAGACAAAATCCCAGGCATTCACTTTCCTCCCGAACCATCCCCTCCGTTCTTAAGGATAAAATAGCTACTACAATCTGAAAATCTTAGAGTTGCAGAACTCTTGAGATGCTGCAGCAGGCAGAAGAGATTATTGGATGGTCCTTCAGGCACCTCACAGAATCCTTGAAGTGATTCGTTTTCACCGACAGCTGCTTGCCTCGGCTGCTCTCCCTCCCCAGATCTTCTAACCCACGGCTGCTTTTCCTGCAGATGCAATGTTCGGCAGTTGGATACTCTCCTTGCGAGAACTTACGGGCTGAAGGTTATAGACACAGGCTGGTCTAGCCCCCCTTTCTCCTCTCTGCCTCGATCATGGAGTATAAACAAGTTTATTCCATATACACTTCTGAATTTACTGTAAGTTTTCGTTCACTAAGCTATCCCAGCCAATCCGGCCCATCCAGATGGAAGGCAAACCAAACATGAGAGCATTCAGTCTGGAAGACACTCAGCCGTTTCTGTGATGGGAACTGTAGGGCACCTTTCTGGATTTATTTAGAAGGGAAGGTGAGGGTAGAGATGAGCAAGCCACGGGGGACACAGGGCAGTAAGAGGACAGTTTAGCCTCTAGGGCAAAGTTTGAAAAGTCTGTCCTACCTCCGCTGCCTAGGGGTGCCGAGAAAGGAAGCTCTATAAGGTGGTTAAAGACCGTTTCCCAGGCTTCTCTTCTGAAAATTGACCTTTCTCCTTGCAGACTGACATGTCCCTAACTTTGCCATCCACAGTCTTGAAGGTATGTCTCATAGACATTTTACGACTGAATCAGTGCCTCATTAATCCCGTCGGTATTCAGTGAAAATTGAAATGGTTCACTTCCCCTGTATCTGGCTGCTTGTGTGTGTGTGGGGGGGGGAATAGGAGCATCTGCAATAATTTTGGTAAACAGAATAAGCTGTTGGCCGATTTATGACGCCTGCAGCGTCGACTACGTTCTCAGGTTAATTCTTTTTACAGTCTTTGCAAAGACAAAGTTCAGTTCAGAAGCTGAACTGTCTAATATAAAATACTAGTTAATTTCCAGCTCATAGATGGATGAGCCTGTCCACCAAAATTTATGTTTTGTCCGGAAGTTCTTGCCTTTGCATCAGAAGCTATAGGGAACACCAGAAGCACAGTATAATCCAAGTTCTGACCTAAAGGAGTTTGAAACTTCTTGGAGAAGACAAGACAAATACAGTTGTCTTAGAGTATCCAGGAGAGTCGGTCCCAGGACTCCCACTGGTTGGAAATATCTGCAGCCATGTCTGAGTCCCCTTGTCTATAGCCTATGCAAGTCTCCTGTAAACTTTAGGCTGTCTCTAGATTGTCTTTAATACTAATACAATGAACGTTATCTGACTACTGTATTGTCCCAGGTATAAAGACAAGAAAATCAAAGATTTTGCCATCAGTACAGACAGAATGGTTTTTCTGACTACTTTTTGATTTGTGTTTGGTTGGACAGGTAGATGTAGAAGCCAAACTTCTCTAGCCCTTCTACAGATATACCAGAAAGTCAAATAACTGTTAAAAGCTATGTATGATTATTTATATTATTATAGATATATAGTATTGTAGATGCCTGTAGGACCCACACACACATTAAGGAAAGAAGCAGTCTTAGCAAAGTTGGGGTTTGGGTCAGGAGTAGGAAGGTGGATCAGTTGGATGGAGAAGTCATGTCTGGGGAAAGGAGACCACCGACCCATGGGTAGATTCTGTAGTCACGCTACAGAGAACGAACACAGGTGGCCAGATTTTGGCTTCAGACAATGGCTCATGAGGGAGGACTTCACGGACACTGTGAAAGTGAACGCTTTAGAAAACTGAATTTGAGAGACTCGGGGGCTTTAGAGGCAGCTGTGGAAATGAAATGAGCGTGAAAAGGGGTGGACGATGAAAACAATCTGTGAATACTAAGAGCGTTAATATTCGGATAACTGTTCTGACCGCCAAGCCTCATAATGTGAGGTACAATTTAAATGAAAATCCAATAAAAACATCTTTCCAAGCCTCAAGCAGCTGCCCTTCTGTTTGAAAATGTATTTTAGAAAAATGATAGCATCATTGCTAAAGCATCCAACCAACCAAAACCCAACAACAACAACAAAAACCAAAAAGGGCCTTAAAGGTTTTTGCTGAGTCTTATGGAACAGAACTCTTCTTTTGTGGGCTTCTGATTTGTTGACGTACATTTCAACTTTGTTTCAAGCCTCCCAAGTGTGGGGGTCACCCTCTCAGATTAAGGAGATTGGGAGCAGAAATTTCATGGCGGTTGTTGGGTTCCCTGCTTCCTCCACTTTGCAGGTGCAAAGTGTTCCTTCACTCCCTGAGATACACCTGGGTCTTCAAAAGGCTGGAACCACTCCCTTCCCCATTTCCAGAAAATGAAAGGTCCTGGGGTAGAGAAGAGGTGGCCTTTCAAACAAACACCCTCCCCCCTTTATGGAGTAAGTGAATTCCTGGATATCTTCCTACAAAGCAGATTTCTCTGTTGAGAGACATTCTCTCAATATTTTTTAGTAAATGCCACATTGGAGAGCTATTCCTTTGGAAAACATTTTGACTTTTCACGATGATGAAGATTTGATTAAGAATGCATCAAATCTTCCAGGGGCACATACTTTAAAGGAGAGTGCTCGTTTTCTTTAGAGTATTCGCACAGGCACTTAAACACTTCAGGTTAGTCCCAACAGCTGAAAGCATTCCTAGGACTCCTGTTTGCAAAGTTAGGTAAAGCCCTACAGCTCAAGCCTTCGCCCCACCCAAGACAGAGTTCCCCAACACAGAAAACCATGCACGGGATCGCCCGTTCTTTCTCTAGTATCAGGAAAACTGATGTTTCCAGAGAAACAAATTGATTGCTCTCAGCAAAAGGGAAAGGATGGAGTTGGGGACATCTAAAAGAGGCAAGGATTTACAATATGAAAGTATATAAACATTTACAGGACCTGCAGATGTGGGGAATTCTTTAATTCTTTAAAGTAAGGCTTCATGATATTAAATTATTTCTGGCTTAATAAATTCCAAAATCATGAGCATCCAAGCATGTGGCTTTTAAAAACTGTATAAAATATGCTTATATTATTTTTCAATGTATAAACAATCCCTAAAATCCTAAGACTATTGGTGCCCCACCCCCGAAGTCATTAGTAGCTATCAAAACAGCATGTAAATTCTTCTAGACAAATGGGCATTTATCTTATGCAGTGGACTCTCCAAGAGATAAATTTCTGAGTCTCCCCTAGTGTGATACATTCTAGTTCCTTTCAACCCAAACAGATCGCCTGGGGTGGGGTGGGGTGGGGCTGCTGAAAACCTAACTTGTAACAAACGGCTAAGGATAATGAAAAGGACATACGGCAAAAATGATTGACTTTCAAACACGTCCTTTAAAACACGAGGACAAAAAGAACATTAACCCTTTGGCAGTAGAGCTGAGGGCAGAAGAACCTGCAGAAGCCTGACGATAAACGTCAAATCCAGAGCAGCAATAATGTGGTTGGCCTAGAAAACCAACTCATCCGTGTTGGAAAGCTCAATAACCCTAGGAGGCTAACGACAATATCTGAGCTGTTACAGTCAAACCAAAGGCTCACTGTTCCGGGCCGGATTCTATCCCTCCAGAGCTTATATTTTGAGGTCTTCCTAAGCTAACTGCCGGGACGTCAGGATGGGACCCTATTTGTAAATGGGGTAACGGCCTGAGTAAGGGTGTTAGCATGAGGCTATCGTGGAATGGGGTAGTTCCTTAACTTCAGTTTGCCGAGTCCTTATGACAAGGGAGAATTTATCCGCAGGGAGAGACGAGGGTCAGGGTGATACAGCAGGAGGAAGGACCAGCAAAAGGCACATAAGGAAGGGACAGGATAGATTTTCCTTCAGACTCACATGTTGACTGAACAGCCTCTAGAACTGCACGGCAATAGCTGTGTTTGTTTGTTTGTTTGTTTTTCTTTTCTTTTTTTTTTTTTTTTCTGAGACAAGGTTTCTATGTAGCTTTGGAGCCTGTCCTGGAACTAACTCTTGTAGACCAGGCTGGCCTCGAACTCACAGAGATCCACCTGCATCTGCCTCCCGAGTGCTGGGATTAAAGGCGTGCGCCACCACCGCCCGGCTTTCCTACTTTTTCTTACGCCATCTTTTTCCCTTTTGCGAGTTGGGTGGGGGCTGCCTCTGCCTCCAGAGTGACCCGCCTGCTTCTACCCCTCTTGGTTTTTTTTTTTTTTTTTTGGTTTTTCGAGACAGGGTTTCTCTGTGGTTTTGGAGCCTGTCCTGGAACTAACTCTTGTAGACCAGGCTGGCCTCGAACTCACAGAGATCCACCTGCATCTGCCTCCTAAGTGCTGGGATTAAAAGCAAGCGCCACCATTGCCCTGCACAATAGCTATGTTTAAAACGACCCAGTTAGCAACACTTTGTTATGGGAAAACAATATAATCTTCGTATTCTATGCTTCTTGAGAACAACACTAAGACATTCCTTTCCTAATACTAAGATCCTCAGTTCGGGGATGAAGACATTCAGTCATTTAGTGTCGAGTGAGCTTATACTTGGTAGAGTTGTCACAGTGCCAAACACCTCTGCAGCAGGCCTGGCTTTTTCTCTAACACTTCTCCTTCTCCGTTTTTCTTAGGTGAGTGATCCACATCCATTACAGACCATAGGGAACAAGGGAGAGTCACACAGAACAAGGAGATAGATAAACCCATCCCCAGGAGGAGCCTAGAAGGGCAGTGTCCAGCCTCTTGCTTTAAGGCAGATTTTCCCAGGGAAGCAGTGAATTTGTATTTGTGCTTCAGCCTTCTTCCTCTTCCTCTTCCTCCTTCTGCCTCCCCTGGGAAATCTTCCAGCATTTTCTTTACCCCAAACTATGGCTTACACTTTGGGTTCCAAAGCACTGTTGGCAAATATTTTTATGTCTGTGTGCTGCATACAATGAGCATCTTCAGAAGAAGCCAGAGTTTCATATTTTACATTTCGCACCTCCCAAGATTTTCCACAGATTTTAATCAAAGTAAATACTATTGAATTAAATAATAATTTTCCCTGAAAGCACCTTATATCAACTTATTTCACAAGAAATCATTTAGGTCATTAGGAATCTATATAATCCTAACACTTGAAAATTTTCTACTAAAATATGTGGTTATTAAATTACCATTAAATTATAATAATATTTAAATTATCTTATTTTTCTAGATTGTCTTGGATATTTCCTTTGATTTTTTCTGTTTATTATTTGCTATGATTTTTTTCTGTTAAATAAATATTCACTTCTAATAAAAAACATATAAGGGCGGAACTTCAGGCCAAACTCATCTGTTGAGAATAGGGTGGTGCGGTTCCCCAATGATGCTCTGCTTGGCTGGAACTGTACAATATCCTGTCTTCCCAGCAGTCTCCAGACAGCTTATAGAACATGAAACAAACTGGAAACACAAAACGTACCTGGGTCAAACTGGATCAGTTTGGAAGGCGTGACAGTAAAATCCTTTCCAACTACAGCTGACACTTGGTTGACCTTAGTGGGGGAAGAAAATCTCATTTAAAAAATAAAAGCAAATGTTCTGCACTGGAGAAACATTTCCTCTCCTGCCATACTAGACTAAATTCATGGTCTCGAGTCTGTTTTTAATGCAAGGTAAGATTTTAAAAATTATAATAAACCATTTTGGGTCCAGACTTTGTGGTATGCTTTAAAAAAAAAAGTTAACTGGTTACTTCTTCTTTAAAGTTATCCAGTTATTGGAAAAAGTAGAATAAAGTTTAAAACCCTATTGTTCTCTTTGTTATGAGTGCGTTTTATTCCAGAAGGGGTGGGGGCACGCAGCCCTGAGAGTCTGTGCGCTGTTAGCCAGCTCAGAGGGCTTCTGAAGGTTCCATGGCACTGAGAGCCCTTAGGCCAGATTAACCAGACAAGTCCTCAGCATTGCTTTCCTGCTGGGATGAAACCCTCACTCTGCCCCAACATGAACGAGAGCCTTGTGGGGCTGACAGACCTGGTAAGCAGCTTTGCGAAGGGACTCCACACCTGGGACCGCAGCCTTAAAGGCCTTCTCTTGGAAGCTGGGAAAACGGGACACTACCCTGGTCTAAAGCGACCACTGACGGCTCCACTGGGTCCCTGGTCCAGGGCTAAAATCTAAAGAGGCATATTTAGGGTTCTGACGCCATGGCCTTAGATCCCCAACGGGAGCCTACATGTCTGTGGTGTTCTTGGAAAAGGCCACTGAATGAGCCCTTGGGTGACCATCGCCAGCAGCTGCTAATTTTGCATATTTTTAAGATGTTGAAGACGGTCAAGACAGCAAAAGGAATGAAGTACCCAACTTGAAGCTCTAAAATGCCCATTCCTGGGGACTCAGACAATGTTTCTCTTTCCAACCAAGATGCTAATAGGTTAATCGTTCTGTCTAGAAACATCTTGCTGAAGAAGGGATTACCTCCTAGGCTTCTTCCATTTGCTCTTTGTCTGCAATGCCAAGGCTCCCCCTGCACCAGCTTTTGCTGGGAAAGGGCAGCCCATTGTACACCTGCATGCACCATATGCTGGAGGTTACATTAGTCTGCGTGGGTCACACACATGCAATTACCCAGTGTTTACCACCACTGCGCTTACAGAATCCTAGGTCGTAAAAGCATGTCTGAGGCAAGGTGTTTGGAAAGACAGGTCGGGAGAAGGGGGACAATCCAAAGAAGGCAAACAGCACAAGGCAAAGAATATCTTTGCTCTCTCCTCAGTCAAGTACTCATAAGAGCTTATGCAAAGTGGCAGGTTATACTCCATATGGAGATGTCCCCAAAGCCTCAGGGACTGTCCTTAGTGACGGCCTGCACACTTAGCTGTCAGGTTCCTACGACTTACGTAGACTAAGGTCCCATGTAGGTTCTTTTTACATGTCGAGATGAATGGTAACATAGACCTAAATGCGTCACTCAAATATGTGTCACCTTCTGGGAAGGCCTAGGAGATTGTTCAAAAGTTACAGTGGGCTAATTCTCTTTTTTTCCTCATAGCCCTTCCCTGGAATTATGGGAAATGCCAACTTTTCTCCTCTGATGATTTAACACCAGCAGGTCCAGGAGACAGAGACCTATATCCACTAGAAAGAAACACAGTGAGTCTGGGTGTGGTCAGGGTTTGGAGGCCTCTTAACTCTTTATAACTAGGACTGTCAGAAATGCCCTCTTGCCCGGGGGCTCATCTTGTCAGAGTGCATCGGAGTCTCTCCTGTTCTCCACTGAAGCGGATGAACTAGCTCTTCATGCCTCTCTGAAAGGACCTCCTCAAGCTCATTCAACTCTGCGAGCCACACCTGTGCTCCACCGTATAGGAAGGACAGCAAGTCTGGCCGGAAGAGACAAAGGGAAGGCTCTTCCACTTCGGAAGACTGTCCCAAAGTGCCCTTCTGCTTCTGCACAGCGTGGATACATCTCAGGGCAGGCTTATGTCTCCTGTTTTACCTCATCCATTGAGGCAGGCAGGGACAGCGATCCTATTCTATTCACAGAGGACAACTGGTGTCTGGTATTTGTCTTAGTCACCACAGAGAAGCTGTAGACATCTTTCAAGGTGGAGTGTAATACAGACCCACTAAGCAGGATACCCGACTCTCTGTGAAATCAAACTTGGAAAGCTAAAGGATGTGTAGAAAAGAGATAGATTTCGAAACCAAAAGCAGATCTGAAAAACTGTCTAGGAATCACGGAAGGGCTGGAGGACAAAGACGTTGTGTACTTGGACTCCTCCCCGGCACATAGGGCTACGCCTGCAGTTTGGTGTCCTTGGCCATTTGGAGTTTTTCTAAGAAATCATCTAAGGCACTAACCAGCAACATTAAGCTCCATCTAGACAATTTGCATTTTAGAGTTGTTACCTCTATGCTCACAAAGGCAGAATCCATGGAATAGCCCCTTCTGGTAACTTCCAAGGGTAACAAGCCCACATTCTCACAGACCTCGTATTCAGTCTGGAACCATTCAATAAAAGACCACTTCAGCTCCAAGCTGTGAACAAGGAAAAGAGAAACGGTGATCAGAAGCTACCCATAAGAACGTCCCTCAGTATCAGCTAGATGGGAGACAGAAGACTGAGTACCATCAAGGCAGCAAAGGCGTTTGGGTAACCCATGTCAATGACGGAAATCGCTCACACACTTATCTGGAGTGTTGGTTAATGACTAACATTTGCGTTATCTTATTTGGTGACCTTATAATGACCTTGGGGGGAATGGAGAAAGTGTTAGGAACTCTATTTTTTCAATGAAATTTTCTAAAGATTTCCAAAAGTCCCGTGGTTGTTAGTGACTAGGCAGAGGCTCAAATGTGAGCGTGCGAAAGCAAAGTGACCAGCAAGCGTGAAGCTCAAAAGTCCATTTATTTTAGGAAGAACTCTGAAGTTGGGTCTACTTTAACAAAAAGTCATCCTCAGGATGTGTTTAGGACTTAACGTGTCTACGTGCATTGTACCTGATGCCTATTCCTGGTTCTGTGCATGAGGAAGAGATACACTAGTGTGCACCGCACCGTGGGTGCAAGCCTGGCCATCTCCCAGTGTCCACCAAAGAGTGGGTTGAGAACCCATTGCTGGTACTGACAGTCACAGAGCAGGCACAAATCCCTCTGTCTACCTTACCTCATCTCTAGATGACTCACACCACAGGGTACCGACAGGGAAAATAGCTGATCTACTAAATTGTTTAGATGACAAGAAAAAGGGTCTATGTGCATTCAGAATGACATAATTCTTTGATAAATTATTTTGAATTATGACTGGTTATATCTGCAAAACCCCTAGGACACAGGGGGCAAACTATATACAGCTGAATGTGATTCATAAACATTCCTGATATACATGAGTAAATCTGACCCTTGATGGAAAATGTCATATCTAATGGTTACCATCTACAGAACTTAAAAAGAAAGAAAGACTAAGGCCAGGAAGTTTCAACAACTAGTTTATCCCCCTTGCAGGGGTCACAGGTCACCGTCACGTCATACAAAGTTCACCAACAAAATCAACTCAGTGGCACTGGTTCTTCCTTAAGGATGACAGGCGAGGGATGGCCTGACATTGCAGGACAGACTTACCACAGGGGCTCAAGATAAGACATGTGTGTGCTGTACACATAGTGTGTTTATTTGATAGCTATGAAGCATTGCTCCTGCATCCCATATTTCATAAAAATGACTTGAAAAAAAGCATCATTATATTTAAAATGTTGGTTCATTTGCTGGTATTTGATGCAGCAGAAATTAAGTCTAGCATAAAATAGATCAAGAAATAAAAGAAAGCTATGCTTAGGAGTAATAAAATATTGGATTCCTTGGGTTGCGATTTTTATACCCAAGAGAGGCCTTATCATACAACAAAAATATATGCTCTACTATGTTCATAGCAGCATTGTTTGTAATAGCCAGAACCTGGAAACAACCTAGATGCCCTTCAATTGAAGAATCGATGAAGAAAGTATGGAATATATACATATTAGAGTACTACTACTCAGCAGTAAAAAACAAGGACTTCTTGAAGTTTGCAGGCAAATGGATGGAAATAGAAAACACTATCCTGAGTGAGGTAAGCCAGACCCAAAAAGAGGAACATGGGAGGTACTCACTCATATTTGGTTTCTAGCCATAAATAAAGGACATTGAG